ATAAGTAGAAAGTAATAGCTATAGATACTTAAAGATAGGTTAATATAGTATAAGAAGATAGAAAATAAGTATACTATAAGTAATACCTCTCTAAACCTTTTAAGAAAGTAATAAGTATCTAGTAATATAAATAGAGACTTAGCTAAGAAGTAGAGAAGTTTATAAGAGCTAGCGTAGTAATATTACTTTATATATCTACTAAGTAGTTAGCTATATAGTAAATAGCGCTACTCTAATAGTAATACTATAGCTTAGTACTATTTAGATATATATAAGCTATAGATAACTAGCGTAATTAATATTTAATAGAAACACTATAGTTATAAGAGAGAGTAGCTATAATAGTAAAGAGATAATTATTTAATTAATAAGTACTTAGGTAAGCTAATATAGTAATATATATATCTAAAATACTATATATACTCTATTTTACTATACTTTATAGCTTCTAATATTCTAGTATACTTACTATATATTCTTTATAGATAAGCAGCGCTTAATATATATATACGCTTTTACCTCTATCTTTATAATAGTTTTAAGTATAGTTAATTACTACTAAGAGTAAGAAAGTACTTACTAAGTTATATTAATATAAGTAAACTATACTACTAGTAGAGAGTTTAGTACTAGTATTTAAGGTATTACAAAATAGAATCTAAGAGACTTAGTAAGGTTACTACTATAAAATATTACCTTATAACTTTCTTCTACCTAACTTAATATATTAGCTTTAAATAAAAATTATCTATAAAGAAGCTACTAGCTAATAGCTAAGGTGCTAGTTAGTTCTACTCTAGCTAAATTCTCTAACGTTAGTACGCTAAACTTTCTACTATTACTATATAGAATATAGAACTAGTAGATTAGATAGCTATAAAATAATTTTAAATTATAGAATATAGTATTAGTCTCTTATTAGACTTATATCTACTAAAGAATTTTTCTAAAAGCTTCTAAGCTTAAAGTAGAGTATATAACTAGCTTTTCTAGAAGACTATTATTTATATCTATCTCTTAGCTTCTACTATATATAGAAACTAACTATATCTAGTTAAATAAGATACGCTAGATCTTAGTGCTATCTTAGTAAGACATCTTACTTAATAGGTAGTAAACTTCTACTATAGTAAACTAGATCTTTAGTAACTTCTTTACTTTAAAATAGAGGTCTAGTATAAACTTTATAATTAAACTAGAACCTTCTAGTAATATATATAATTTCTCTATACTACTAAACCTATCTATAATAATACTAAAAGACTTACTTCTAGTTATCTAGTTAATTAGTAGTTTAAGAAAGAAGCTAATAGTCTAGTTATTATCTTATATAGTAAAGATGTATAGAAAAGAGTATATATTTAGTAATTAAGCGCTAGTATCTGCACGTTAAACGTATAGAATACCTATAGTACTAATTTCTAGAACTACTATATATTAGTTATTAGAAGGCTTATAATTAGCTATAGATATAGTAGTTACACTAGTATCTATATTAACTAATCTTAGTAGTAGTAGAAGATAGAAAGAGTATAGATACTAATATAATATAATATTAAGTAATAGTATAGAAAAAAGTAATAGTATATAAGAAGATAATAGTATATAGAAAGGTAATAGTATATAAAAAGATAATAGTATATAGAAAGGTAATAGTGTATAAGAAGATAATAGTGTATAGAAAGATAATAGTGTATAAAAAGATAATAGTGTATAGAAAGATAATAGTATATAGAAAGGTAATAGTGTATAAAAAAGTAATAGTATATAGAAAAGTAATAGTGTATAGAAAGATAATAGTGTATAAAAAAGTAATAGTGTATAGAAAGATAATATTATATAGTAAGATAATAGTGTATAGAGAGGTAAATAGATAGAAGATAGAGAGTAAAAGTCTACTCTTAATTTCTTAGCTCTAATTTTATTTATAGTCTTTCTACTTACGTATTAGAGTTACTTTATATATAGTAAATAACTTTTTTTATATTTCTAACTAGTAAAAAGAATATATATTACTTACTAGTTATAGAGTAGTAAATAGTAATATAATAGGTAGATAAAGATAACGCTACTAACAATTCTATAATAGCTTTATAGTAGTAGCTTAACTATAAAGTTTATCTACTAGAGCGTACTAAGCTAAAACGTAGCTTATAGAATAAAAAAGCTAAGTATATAGTAAAAGAGCGTAAATATAAAAGAAGCGCTAAGAAGCTTAAGGCGCTAATCTCTTATACGTAGAATAGATAGATACTATTAATATATAATATAAGCTCTAGACTTAGTAATTATCTTATTATTATTTATATTATTTATAGCTTTAAAAGTATTTAGCTTTACAGCGTAGTTTAGGTACTTTATAGTAAGTATAGATTTTAATAAAAATAGTAATAAGGTAGGTTATTTTAAAAGTAACTGCTTTAGTAATATATATAAGGTAGATATCTAAGTAGTTATAACTTATAGATACTTTTAGTAAATAAAAAGGTTACTTCTTTATAACTATAGTAACTATATATTATTATTCTATAAGTATAAGTATAAAAGTAAGACTTCTAAGGTTTAGAAGATATCTTTATATTAGTAAAACCTAAGGTAAAACTTTAATATGTCTTAGTAGAATATTATAAACTATCTAGGTAGAGATAGATACTTTATTAATATTATCTTTAACTTAGATAATGCAAAACTTTTATATATTATCTTTAATTTAGAAAAGACTAAAAAATTAATATAAAACACCTAAGCTAATAAACTACGTATATAGTATATCTATATACCTATAGAATTATACTTTCTATTTTAGCGCTTATAAAGATAGCTATAGTAAAATATAATAAATAGCGTATTACTTTAGAAAAGCTTAAGTAGTTCTTTAGTAATAATAAAGTACGTAACTTACTATAGTTACTAGGTTAATTATTAACTATTATAGCGCGTTCTTACTATATATAAAATTTTTCTAAAAAAGCTTAGTAAATATTTAAAGAGAGAGTTAATAGCTTTATACTAGTATCTTATAGATTTTATAGATATATAGTAACTAAAATCTAAGAAGTATAAGATAAAAGATAGTAGTAGTAGTAGAAGTAGAGGTTAGAGTAGCTAAAAGTCTAGAGATTAAAAGAGTACGCTATCTCTCTTTTTAGTAATTCTACGCTATTTATCTCTTCTCTTAACACTATAGTTAGAGAAATATATTAATAACTATAGCTATAAACTAAGTATATTCTTTATATTTTATTATTAAGAGCTTAATAATAGTTTAATATTAGATAGCTTTGCACTTACCTTATAGTATAAATACACTAAAGCTCTAGAGTAATATAGTAGTATAACACGCCTAAGAAAGCTTTTTATAATAATTATATAGTATAACTTTATAAAGCTTATAAAACCTAGCTATACTAGAAATTATATTAGCTACCTTATAGAGTAGAACTTAATAAAAATTATTAAGCTAGTATAGCAAAGCTAGTATAGTAAAGAGCTAAGTAGTACCTTTTTAAAGACTATTTTAAAAGAGCTTAAAATATAGTATACTCTTAGTGCTAAGCTTATAGTTTTTATTAACTAGTTTAGTAAAGAATATCTCTTCTATCTTAAGTTTATACTATCTAATAACTTCTTATTAGATTAACTTAGAGCTTCTAAATAAGCTTTTAATAAAGCTATATATTATCTTTATAAAGAGCTAGTATTAGAAGATAAAATTACTAATTCTACTAATATAGAAAAAATATAGCTTACTAAAGCTATTTAAGAGTATCTTATTAAGCCTTTTAAGAATATAAAGATAGTAAAAAGCATAGTAAGTATCTAGGTAGTTTATAATAATAAATTTTAATTTATTTATATAAGCTATTTATAACTGTTAGTACGTGTAAAGAGACTTAAAATCTGTGCCTATTATTTACTTTAAGGCGTGACTTTTACTCTGAGTAGTAACCTCTGGATTTACTAGTACTTTTAGACGATGCTTATTATGGGCACGCCTTACCGCCTTTGCTCGCCAAGCAAATCCGCTTCCATTGCGGCCCCGTCTTAGAAGATCAAGCAATAGCTTGAAAGCCGGCCATCGTTGTCCGAATGTTCGCTCAAGTTTCCTCGCGCTCAGGGGCGGAGTACGGAGCGGCTGCACTGTGGGTGGTTTTCCGGACGGAAGAGTAATGGGCCGCATCCGATTACTGCCGCAATAGCAATGGCCATATCCTCATCAATCCGCTGCGCTGCCAAGTAGAAAGAGGCAGTGTTGAGGGCACCGAGTACAGTAGCAACGACGGCATTGTAGGAATCGCATTGTCATAAGATGCGGTTACGGCCAACCAGACAGGGTGGCATTTAGGCGAGCAGTCACTTGGATGCTTCCTTCCCTCTACGGGCCAACTGCGCCCCGACGAAATGAGCAATTGACGTCACAATGCTTTGTGCTTACTCCCGGGGCTTGGCCTACTTCGTTGATGCTGCCGCGGTGTTGCTGTGCAGTGGCGCCAGCACCATTTTGTGGTGGTCGCGTGCTCAACGAGGATGGGCACGCGACACAGTTGGAAGATGGGAACGGTGAATACGAGTCGAATAACGATGAGATGGGAGGAAGCCTGTGCCTTTAGCGGGTTGCGCGCCGCTGCGCATGTCCCAAGCCACTAAAGTTGAAAAAGTGGGACTTTGATACGCTGTACGCACGCTTTGATCAAGACGTCTGACCTCCTTTGCCGGCAACCCGGGGGCTTCGCGAACTTGTAGCAAGCACAACCATAGGCCCGCTAAGCATCGAGTGAAGCAGGCGGACTTCTCTCCTCTCCACCTGGTCTGAACCCTTCCCCTCTTTTGTTTCCCGTCACTCCTTTCCCTGCCCAAGTGTGTTGTCAACATACTTTGTGTCCGACGACAACCCTCCGCGCGTACCCGGGGATAAAATAGAGCCGACGATTGCAAACACTGCCGGGCCACCTTGAGCAGCATTATCTACGAGCATCCCGAGCCGGCGCAGGCGACACATCATGGCGAACACGACGTTAGCAGACAATGGCCAATGGAACAGCAAACCAGCGTGGAAGCTGCCGGGATGGTGCGAACCTGTTGTACGTAGCCAAAACCACTCCACAGTATTCGTATACACACAGCAGCATGCTGACAGCGTCACGCACAGATGGTTGCCAGCATCCTGTTCTTCGCCATGTTCATAACACGAAAGCGCGACTTTAAAATCTTCGGCCGGTCATCACAGCGCACCGGCTTCCTCGACAACACCCCGAACGAGTCTACCGACCGCCTCCTCCAGTCCGACAGCGACAGCGAATTCGACGAGATTAGCGCGGTTAAGAACCCCAACGCATCCAAAATCCGAAGCATCTTCTGCTGGAGGGTTACAACACCCAACACATCGCGTTTCCGCCACCATGTCCACAGTCGCATACTGCAGCGCTTCCCTTTCTTGATTGAGATGTTCTATTGGGTTATCAACTATGCATTCTACCGCATGACTGGCGTCGTATCGGCCAAGCTCTTCGCTGGGCGCGGGATATGGGACGTATCTCAGGAACACGGGATTGCAGTACTGGAAGCGGAGGAGTTTGGCCTCCTGAGATTCCTGTTCCCGGTCCGAGAGAGGGACGTACAACAGTGGTTCATGCATGGACACCAAGATGCGCTTACGGTGCTGAACAAGTGCTATGCGCTGATCCACATCCCTGGAACTGTTGGGTAAGTTTGCTGTGGCCTAAGTTCTTGCATCACCACTGACATTTTCAAGCTTCATCTGCTGGTACTACTACGTAGCCCCGTCGTTTGACACCTTCGCCATCGCCCGCCGAACCCTCACCCTTACCAACTTCTGCGCTTTCATGACCTTTGTTGTATACCCATGCATGCCACCGCGACTTCTACCCAAGGAGTACGGCTTCCTCGACACCGTCCGCCATGACGACGCACAAAGTGTATGGATGAGTGGCAAGTTTGTCAATCAACTCGCAGCGATGCCCTCGATGCATTTTGGCTACGCATTCTGCATTGGCATGACCATGATCTACCACTCAGGTCTCTTCCGCCGCACCTTGGAACAGGGCGAAGTGCGCAAGAACGCCTTCTGGAAGATCTTCTACCTGATTGTTGGAATAGGATACCCCTCTTTCATCCTGACGGTCATTGTTGCCACGGCCAATCATTACTTCATGGACGCCTTGGTGGCTACCTGCTTCGTCTTCTTCTCGTTCCTTTGCAACAAGGTCTTCTACGTCTTCATCCCGCTCGAAGATCTCCTGCTCTACGTTATCCGGGCAGACAAGCCCGTTCCTACAACCGGTGACCGCTTCCACGAGAAGGGTGGCCGGTTATAGTTTTGGCAGCTTGATCTCGGCCTTTGGTTTTGGTTAACTACCACGGTCGCTTACACTTCGTCGCATTTACAGGACATAGCATTACAGGCGGCGTTGGTCAAAGCAGTACACGCATCGCACTTGGTTATCAGACACGCGGCGGTTTACATGTACATATTCTGAATTCATACTCAAACATTATCCTTCGATTCGTCCTTCGGTTGTTACTATAACTGGATGCTGACCAGTCGTACTTGTGGACGCAAGCTAGAACGCGCCAAGGCCGGTTCCTGCGTTAGCGCAAGTGAAAGCTCCCCAGCATTCGCGACGCGTCCGAGCTCCCGGCGTGTGCCAGCCATCATCTCCAACCTCCCCCTCAGCACTCCGTAAGTCAGTCCACCCATCACCAGACGCGATTCGTGCAGGACGCTATAGCGCTTCACTCTATCTACTTTTCGCAAACCATACTGCTTGTCGTGTGCTGACATTCCATTCCGGGACAGCTACTCTTGAGATTCAGATAGCTTCATTCGCTTTCGCACACCGTCCCTCGTTCTCGCAAACACAGAAACGCAGTCGCCATGGCGGATCTCGAGCAGCAAACCCCGATTGAGGGCACACCGATCGACGACATTGAGATGGAGGGTGCGGGTGATGCTGGAGCTGGCGCAGGTGAGGAGACAACTCTCCTGCCGGAGATTGAGCCCGAAGCACCCAAGCTGGTTCTCTTCGCTGAGTAAGTGATGGCCACGTACATTTTCCGGTTCGCAGGATTGGACAGCTAGCTCGCTTGAGACGAGGTGCTACTATCGGGCGCATGAAGTTTGCCAGCTCTGAAGGGCTGAAGGCAACGCGCGCAACACCACTCTCAGCTCTATGGGCTATTAGCATATACTTCCTGGCTCTGGAATACTAGTGACACACATCATGAACGCGCGGTTAACATGCGACCAGTCTCATGAAGAGTCCGATCGTTGAAGTCGTCGTTGGCTCAGGAGACAACCGCACCACATACTCAGCACACGAGGCAGTTCTCGTCAAGTCACCAGAGTTCGCCAAACAGGTCGAGAAGTTTGCGCCAGGAGGGGTACGCTATCACGCCATCAGCGAGTAAATATGCGCTCACTAACAGTCTCCAGCCTCGTCAAATCGTCTACACTGATTGCGATGTCGATGCGATGGGCTCAGTCGTCGAATACCTCTACACAGGCGAATACTTCCCCAAGAAGACGTCAGCCGCACGCGATGCGCCCCTCGAGAAAGACCCGCGACAGCCTGTAACCGATAATGACGGCTTGGGTCTCCTCGTCCACGCACGCATCTACACGCTTGCCGACCGTCTCCAACTTCCCGAGCTGAAATCGCTCGCACACTCCAAGATCCACCGCACAGCGTCGACTGCAAAGGGCGAGCTTGCATACGCACGCTACGTATACAAGGAGTCCAACCCGGAAGATGCCACAATCCGCAAGCCCGTCGCTGCCTTCTGGGCTACACGAAGCTACAGCCTACGCCACGACGCGGAGCCAGAGTTCAAGGCCATGTGCCTGGAATTCCCGCAATTCTCGTATGACGTGCTGCAGCTCGTCTTGGACCAGCAGGAGAAGAAGCGTGGTGGTGATGATGGACCAAGCCGAAGTGGACCAACTGTGGTTCCTGGAAGCACGAGGAAGAGGGCTAGGGTGAGTCAGGTGTAGATGCGATATTTAATGTTGCTTCGTGCTTGATTCACCTCGCCGTCCTAGACCACGGCTACATCACCTGCCTTCTCGCTTACCTACCCGAGAGTCCTTCCGAATCTCTTTGCAAATCACCTCGAATGCCAGCTGCGTGTCCCGCGTAGCTGTGGCGATATTCTGTTTTCAGATCTGCAGGTTGTTTCTCCTGCTTACACCGATTCCTTTTGTCACATACACACCCATGATCTTAGTCACATTTACCATCGAGGACCAGCAGCGAACTGATATTCCATAATGTCAAAAATCTTGTTTGTTGTAAGGTTGTGGTAGCGCTGGCTGGGACGGAAAGTTTTCGAATGTAGTACCATGTACAGTAGCCGAGATAGGTATTTCCGGACTCGAAGTCTACATAAAGCAGATGACAAGCTTGTCGATTTTGGATATCTGATTAGCAATTGGTGCAACGCCTTGACGGCGCTATGTGAGAAACAGTATATTGTTGAGACCAGCCAGTAAGACGTGGAGGTCGTTCCGTCACGACATAGTGGTACGTCCCCCAGCCTTCGTATATGCCAGACATCGAGATCTGAGTAAGCTGTCTACTTTCGTTGCAAGGAGCGCAGTACATTTCGCACAACACAGATCGGATACAACAGATAACGACAAAGTATAAACTCGATAGGCAAAACTACCGTGAACTTGCGGATCCCGTAAAATACATCGTTATACGCACTTGACACAAGGAAAACGTTAAAGAGGTCTACAGCCTACATAAGATGGAACATGTAAGATATGATCTGCAAGTAACCCTGGGGGAGCTTCAGAGGTGTACGTACACCTTAGTCGAGGACAAGACTAACTATCTAGAGCCTACGTTGACGCTAAGTCGCCTCATTGCATGTTTGTATCTTGATGTAGACTGCAGCCTGTTTAGTATTTGCCTTGTCTGAGTGAGGTGCAGCCATCTCTGAATTTACCCCAGGATCACTCACAGATCAGATCTTACATCTTCTGAGACGCGACGAACGATCTGCGGGAGACTTGCCTATAGCTGCTGTCATGAGATGCAATTACTTGCATCCACCCTTGCTGGAGAAAAAGCCGAGAGATGCATGGTGACGTTGACGGGTAACTTCCTGCAGGGACGGGGGTCGCCTGGCGCGAACATAATACAGCGCTATAACAGAGGTACAAGTTTTGTTGGGACGACGGTCTTGTACTGTATGCATAGTGACCTTTACAGGAACGTAAAGGCGTTGCTACCTGGGTACGTAGGGTGCCAAGGACGGTCGAAAGAGGGGTTATATGCCGCTTCGTGATGTGGAGGTATCGTACTTGAGCGATTAGTAGGGTAAGAAGAGGAGCAAACAAGGAAGAACCGTGGCCGTGGAAATAAGCAGTCTTTGATGCTGTTGGGTAGGTAGTAAGAAGGTAGATGGAACTAGCAACGCCGTCGTTCAAGTGTGTCGACTGTCGAGCGGACCAAAGGGCTAAGGTGGTATCCACGCTAACGCTCACGGCAAGCTGAATCGGGGCCTTCCAGAGCTCGACGTTCCCATAGCCCGGTAATTTATAGCATGTCGTCGATCCGTGAACCATTGGCGATGACTGCGGACAATAGCCCTCTGACATCTGTCACCCATCGGGTCGCGAGATTGCGGACCGGCTGTCGACGAGTCGAAGACGCCACCCGAGGGTACGAGGGCCGGTCTGGTCTGCGCGAACACGTGGAGGTGCATCGCCGTGAGTGAGTCTACGATTTGCGGTGGATCGATTGGCTGCAAGTGTGCGATCGTAGAGTTTGTGACACAGCGACCCGGGCCCGCGATGCATGCGTAGTGCTGCTTGATGTACAATCGGTCAGGAGGGTGTGCAGCTGCGTGCTACCATTGCCCGCGACTCTGAGGCAGTGGGCACGCGCTAGACGCGCATTGGGAGCGGATATTCTGTAGCCCCAGAACTGTGAGACATGGTCACGATGGCAGAAGTGAAGTCCCAAAGTGGTGGAGGCAAAGCACAACAGGGAGGTGGATATATACCAGCAGCCGCGGCCCAGTTGGCATGAGTGTGGACCCGAGTCTGGCCAGACACTTCTAAGATTCTAAGATTGATTTCTCCGAGCGTCCAGTTCATCTCGGCAAAGGCTCTCACATGACAGTCGAATAGGTGTCTGGAGGGCTTCTGCGCTGCGTCCCAGGCTGGACAGACCCTGCAGCGCCTCGCATCTGCCCCGCAGTCGCCTGGCCAATATCTCCCAGCTGCAGCACCTCATACGGAACCCTCTCCGGAACTGCTCCAGCCCATGCATGCGCTCATCCCGCTGCTTCTTACTTAACAGCCAATTAACCGCCAATCACGCCTGCCTGGCTCCACCGTCTCTCCTGCTCCCTCTCGTCGCGTGTAGAGAGACAGGCTGCTTGGTGATAGCTGCGCGTCTTCTGCCTGTACAGCACGGCCCGGTGGGCCAGCAGTCTAGCCTTTTTCTGCTCTCACGAGACCCGCTCCCGGGCCTCGCATCGTGAGTCGCACACTCTTCAGCGCTCCACGTACCTTTACATCGTGACCCGCCAGCGCATTCGGCGGGCCTCACCGCGCGCCTTTCCAGCCACTTTACGCTACTGCCCATGGCCACCGTTTGTACAAGACGGCAGCGAGCTTCGGAACGGCGCTTGCACTGCAGTTCCAGCCAGCTTGACCAAGTCAGGACGCAATCCTTCTAGCGTCACTTGACCCTACAAACCAACGCCACGCCCCGAGGCTATCGATTATCGTGTCTTCAATAATTCCGTCTACCAGCACTACCCGTCTTCATCATCTCCTGGACGCCCGCCTGCCGTACTCCTGCTACACAACCACCCTCACATCCATCGCCAATCGCCAATACCAATACGAACCCCATCCTGGTCGACACGCTAGCCGCGCTGATCGTCACCTCCAAGTGTAAGCTAACATCCTATGCTACACTGGAGTTTTGTTGATCCATGGCAGACAAAGCACATACTCAATCGCACATCAATCTCTCCGACTATTCCTCGACACGCTCTCCGTCTGCACAGTACATCGGTAGACATCGGCAACATATCCACACGTCCAAATGATCCAAGTCTGTCACTCGGCCCCTCCATACAAGACCGTGCATCCGAGGCGACTCGTGCTTGCACCGGTCATACAAAACCAAACCACAATGAATCCCCCCTCAGCACCCAACCCGGCAGGCGACGCAGGCGTACTACCAGACTTCAACAACCTCAGCCTCCAGGACGCACCATCACCGCCCGCCAACGACGACGATCTCGACGTTTTGACCATGTCACGGGAAACCGCCATGAAGTTGATCGCACGCTCAATAATTGCCATTGCCAATGCAGCTGGCGATGTGCCCGCCACACCACCACTTTCGCGGCCCGGGACGCCTGGCGGACGGGAAAACCACCTCATACGCTCCCACCGACGGACAGCGTCCAGACCAGCGACGCCTATCCCCGCCGAAAAAGAGAACCACCAACCGACTGAGCTAGCTCCACCGGAAGCGGGTCACGATGAGCCCGTCACCATACACGACATTGGCGCCGGAGCGCAGCCCGAGTCCGTGCAACGAGCCAACATGGCTCGCAAGTTTTTCTCCAAGACGGTGCCCAAAGTCGGCGTCGAGGAGTACATGAACCGCATTCAGAGATTCTGTCCGCTGTCCACGGGGGTTTGGCTAGCTGCTGGGTCGTACATGTTGCGATTATGCGTTATCGATAGGAGCGTTCCCCTCACATACCGGACAATGCATCGGCTCATACTGGCTTGCGCTCTCGTAGCGATGAAGGCATTAGAAGATCACAGGTGGCCGCAGAAGCGCTTTGCTGCCGTAGGAGGTGTCGACGAGGCAGCACTCAGCCGACTTGAGCTATGCGTAGAGTTCTTGCTGTCGTTTGACGTACAAATCTTCACACCAGAGAAGCTCAAGGAGTTGACACTTCAACTGCAAAAGGCGGGACAGGCTGCAACCATGACCTGTAGATTACCGACATCCTTCAGCCTGAAGATGAACAACCCAAAAGTACGGAATGCGCAGGCTGTTTGAATTGGAACGACACTAGGGCAAGCATCTCCTTTTGTTTGGAATTTTAGGATATCCCCATCTAGCATGGCAATGGCGTTTGAGTAGCAAAACACGGGCATGACGGCCAGAGAAGCGTCTGTACTATAGACACCAAGAGGTGTACTGGAGAGAATCTCAAAAATTTCGACGTGCAAACACAGGCTGCATTGAAACCCACTTTTGGCGGTAGAATGTGGAGACCCGATAATGTAGATTCAGGTACCGGCTCCAAGTGGAGGAGATGCGAGCCGAGCAAGTCATGTGCAGGCCGAGATAGCTGCTGATAGTGTTGTTGAGTATCCATGGAAACAATGGCAATCACTGCAATTGGCAGATTGTTGACTTGGATCATGTACGTCCTTTTTCCATGGTGTTGAGGCGTCGCAATGAGACGACCATCCTTGCCAATCACAGTTTAGCGTGCGCGGCAACGATGATCGTGCCCCTGGCGCGCCGCATGTTGCTTGATTGATTCCAGACTGCATCCTTCACCCGACACTAACAGCCACCGCCCAACACCCGCCTCTACCTGCCTTTACTCGACGTCTGCCTACATCGCATTCAAGATTCGCATACATTGTGTGTATAGTGTCCCTCGCTCTACCATCGGACAGCGCTCGACGCTCGCTTTCACGCCACACCGCTGCCCGCCCGTCACTCTCTGCCTTCACAAATCCTCACCATGACGCGGATAATACTACCCTTTGCCGCAGTCGTCGCTGCCCTTTCTCCACTCGTCAGTGCCGGGATCAAATTCACATCACCGAAAGCGGGCGACAAGATTGCGGCTGGCGGAGCCGTCACAGTAAAATGGGAAGAAGGTGGCACAGGACCGAAGCTCGCAGACCTGACAACGTATGAGTTGCAGGTGATCGTGGGAGGCAATGATGGCACTGAGCAGGTAGGTTGCGAAGACTGGCATCAGCACAGGCGCAACGAAAAGATACTAATGAGGGGAAACAGTTCCCAGTGGGCGTCATCACAACAAGCGGCGCGTTCACAGCGGGCAACACAGCCTCGGGCAGAATTGAAACATCTCAGTCTGAAGACCTGAAAGACGTCAATGCCTAGTAAGTTCCCACCCGAAACCCAGCTCAACGACCGACTAACCTGACCGCCATAGCTTCATCAAGATGATCGCAGTTGGTAAGACTGGCGGTCAGCTCCTCACCTACTCCGATCGCTTCCAGTTCAGTGGCATGACGGGCAAGAACATTCTGAGCCCCGCGGTCAAAGCCGCCGTCAAGGACATCGATACCACAACCGGGCCGCCGACCGTAGACACGACGACCGATGGGACGAATCCTGCTGACCCAGATCCGGTTGATGACGACGTATACAAGGTGGACTACGCGATGCAGACGGGTCTGACGCGTTACGCGCCCATGCAGCCTGTACCGCCCACCAAGATCACCGCCAAGAACACAAAGCCTTTGTACCCTACAAGCAGCGTCAAGATTGCGAAGTCGAGGCTGCCGATCCCAAGCCAATTGACTACGCTCACGCAGAGTCAAACTTTCTCTGTTAAGAGCATGGAGAACACGGTACGTTTTTTGGGTGTATAGAGATGCTAGAAGCTTTACTGACATCTTTTAGGTTGCCGCAGCTCCTCACGCCACCGACGACATGGCCAAATTCCTTAGGCGCTGGCAGGACTAGATCTCCCCCGATCACATGCATTACCGATTCGACAACGAACGCATCGGACGAAACAAAGCGACTATGCTCCACCGTACGACAAAGCACAAACACCCACCTCTCGTGCGAAAGGCTTTGGGGTCAGTATTAGGAGCCATACTGCATTGGTCAGCTCGGCTGCAGCATGGACACTTGCGATTTTGGAGGTATCATTGATCTATCGCATGGATTGACAACGGCATAATGGACCGGCGTTTAGGGATCGAGCGTGTTTTGCGGCGTCAGACGACTTGTTGTGGGTTAAGAATTTAGACATGATTATGTAGTACTACGAAAATTAGCGAAGCGACATGCATATCTATACACGACAAATACTCGCGATGTGCAACTGAGGATCAAATTCAGAAGGGTCGCACCTTCCTGTTATGATCGAGACTGGTAGACCGCGGCTACCCGTCAGATGCAAGCTCACCCCACCACCCCACCTTCGCGGCCTGTAGCTATCAGCGCGCCTAACAAACAGCAAAGCTCCTTCAAGCTCCCCATGCGTGCCCTGCTACCTCAAATCAGTCGTTCACTTCGACACACTCTACGACCACGTCTGCCATCACCAACACACTCAGCGACTGCAACACCTTGCTTTTACACCTTATCTGCAGAGAGCGGAAGCTGGACCAACGTGCACAAGATGGCGATTGCCGAAAACTATGAAGAGGTGCTAAAGGGCAAATACCCGGCCAAGGCACATGCAAAGAAAGTCGCAGAGTGGATCATCGAGAAGGGTGGAGACAAGAATGGAACAATTTACCTAGAAGCGCAGAAGCAGAAGTTAAACGAAGTATGCATTCATGATGATGCTGGTCACAACACAAACTAATGTACTTGCCAGGACAACGATGGCGAGGCACCATTCCGGTAGGCATCATTTGGGTCGAGGTGAGCATACGCTGACCCTTTCCATCTAGTCAGCGACGGTACTTCTTCTATCTCAGCGGCTGCGAGCTGCCAGATTCGTATCTTGTATACGAAATAGCCACCGAGAAGCTCACACTCTTCATCCCTCCTGTAGAGCCGGATGAGGTTATCTGGTCTGGTCTGCCCATGAGCCCGGAAGAGGCCAAGGCCAAGTACGACATTGACGAATGTCTGACTACCAAAGACGTCAACTCTCACCTAGCAAGCCAATCCGAATCCGCGCAATCAACCGTTTACGCTATTCCGGAGCAGGTATCCGATCACATCACATTTATCTCCTACAAAGAGAAGGAGTTCAAGCAGCTCAAGACCGCCATTGAGTACTGCCGCGTCACGAAGACAGACTATGAAATCGCCCTCATCCGCAAAGCAAACGTCATCTCAACAGCAGCCCACGAGGCCGTCATGAAGGCTGCGTCGAAAGCGCAGAACGAATGCGAACTTGAGGCTGTATTCCTCAAGGCGTGTGTAGAGCGCAACGCGAAGAACCAGGCCTATCACTCGATTGTCGCAGCCGGTGAACACGCCGCGACGCTGCACTATGTCAACAATGCCGCTCCCATCTCGGATCAGAACCTTTTATTGTTAGACGCAGGATGCGAGGTCGACTGCTACGCTTCCGACATCACACGCACGTTCCCCGTGAAAGGAAAATTCACAACTGAATCCCTCGCCATCTACAAGATCGTTCTAGACATGCAGCATCAGTGCACCAACGCGCTCAAAGCTGGTGTCGTATGGGACCACGTGCACGAGCTCGCCCATAAGATAGCTATCAAGGGACTCTTGGACCTCGGTATTTTGAAGGGCGATGCGGAGGAGCTCTTCAACAAGAGAATCAGCGTAGCTTTCTTCCCTCATGGTCTAGGTCACTATTTGGGAATGGACACCCACGACTCTGGCGGCGACCCCAACTACGCGGACAAGGACGTCATGTTTAGGTACCTAAGGAAGAGGGGAACCCTACCCGAACGCAGCGTCATTACCGTTGAGCCTGGTATCTACTTCTGCAAGTTCATCATTGAGCCGTACCTCAAGGATGAGGAGAAGAAGAAGTACATTGACGAGAGTGTGCTGGACAAGTACTGGAGTGTGGGTGGTGTGAGGATCGAAGGTATGCTGACACAATGAAGGGTGTTGAATGTATGCTAACGTATTGCAGATAACGTGCTCGTTACCAAAGATGGTTTTGAGAACCTGACGCCGACGGTCAAGGAGATTGATGATATTACTCAGTTGATTGTATCTGGACAGTAGGGTGACTCCGTCGCCGTCGCGCAACTTGAATACATAGTCATGTAGCGTAACCAACGCAATCGCAACCGCACTGGCCATGGTTGGGCTTCATTAGGATTGTATGCACTATCCAACCCTTGAAAAGCCTGTGCACGATACAAATACGCAAGCCGAATATGAAATGTTGAACTGCTCAACACACTGAGCAATGTAAAGACGGCACTCAGGAGCGCGACAGCTCTAGGAGTAGCTACTATTCCTGTCGCAACATACCAACAAAAAACCGAGGTAGAAGTATACATCACATCAGGAAGTACAAACTTATCAAGTTTTAGCGACGTGTATGCAGCAAAGTGCGACCTGGTTTTGAGCACCCGCGGGGATAGTGGTCTTGTAGAGCATAAAGTGTTTCGTCTTTCTAGATGCTCACTAGTCTAATTATACAGAAACGAAGGCAAAAAACGCGTATAAAAGTGATTGTATAGAAAAGAAGAGAGCAGCACCTGGTACAAGGGAAAATTTGAACAGGCCTGCAGCATACAACAGAGTAAACATATCCAGACTAGAAGACTTGGCTCCATTGTAGGCTCCAGAGTATCCTGAGTTTCCCTCGATTAAGGTGGCAGCGTTGGGAAGCGCAGAGTTGAATTGGAATCTCTTCCATGAGTCTCCACGCTCTAGTTGGGCTGCAATAACGCTAAGGTAGCGATGCAGTAACCGTACCCGGCCCAAAGGTTAGAGCAATCTTCGCTCAACTGTGAGTTGAGTTGACGCAACGTGGCCAAAGGGACTGGTGCGGCCTCGCAGTTACTGCCGTCCGAAGGAGTATAGTATTTGATGCAGCCTTCCACAGCGCCAGTGATGCTATTGTCCAGTACACCAGCGTCAGCAGTCTGGGTATCGGCATTCTGCTTGGGCGCTGGCTGTTCATCGACAGTCTGATGTTGTTCAAGATCAAGTGGCTGATCGTCGTTGTTATTGTTGTTATTGACAGTTTCGCGGCCCGCGGTCTGGGTCAGGCTAGCGACAGCATTGTTGTCGCAGCTACTGTCCCCGAAAGGAGCGATGAGACGGTTTGCAATATCTGAAGCGTAGCATGCGGTAGCGCCTTGACCCAAGTTTGGATCTGTGACCTGATCGCCGGAGTTGTAGAGACGCGCTGCTTTGTAGTACTTGCTGTCGTCCGGGGTGGCACTGAAGGCGTCCAGCGCCTTCTTCAGACTTAGCCTTAGACCTTCTCCGGTGGTACCTTCGTGGATCATGTCGTGGATCACGTTGTCGGGGCAGGGCGTGATGGCATGGCAGGAGGCAGTACCTGCGCCCTGCATAAGACCCGCTGGTGTACGACGTCAGTGTATGTATCTCACGTAGTTCGGGAAGAGACACTTACGGTTGGGCGCGTCGGACGCAGTAGTGGGAGCACGAACACAGCCCTTGGACTCTTGCATCATTATGGCGAGAATGAGCTCTTTGGGAACGCCAGAAGCTGCTGACTCTGACTCAATACTGTCCTTGACGGCCTGAGTTTCGGCGTCGCTGTTGTTGTCGCCCCAGCCGTGATTTTCGCAAGAACCCTTGATAGTGTCCTGATTGGATGCCCTACTAATGTGTAAGTAAATAACATACTCTTGTCTTGATGGAGACATACCAGGCGTCCTCGAAAGACTTCCATTCGCTCTGCTTCGGCCATCCTGCAGCGGCCGACCCGTCACCGCCAAACGTGATGTAAGCAGCTCGCGGAGCTAAAGTAGTAGATGTTGCGACACGAGAGTAAAGCGGGAACGCGTATCCAAAAGCGATGAAGCTGCTAGCAGCGAAGATAGAGGTTGGTAACATTGTTGTTATAGTCGAAAAGCTGTTGGTCTAATGCAAATCTTGGTGAAGAAATACAATGAACTTGGGGGTTCGTATGCTGGAATACGCACGAGGCCGGTCAGTCTGATACTCGTATTAGCATTGTAGTCCCCAAACCATTTTTTGGGGTTGCTGTCCAACGTGGAAAACGTATACGTACGCGGTAAACGACTAGTTGGACTCAGGCGTTGATTAAAGAAGAGAGGCTTCTGAACTGAGAACCAGGAAGAACAGAGGGAAAAGAATGTAAAGAGTTGCTTTGGCGATGAGGTCCTCTAAGTAGTCGCGCAGTAAAGGCGATACATTCGAAACACGCATCGCGAAAGTGCCCACAATTGTAAGCGACAAGAACAATCACTTCGCCCGGAAGGCCTTGCAATTTCTCAAGATTCGTAAGAAATCTTTGCCTTGCGAGGTGAATGTCGCAAACGCCGCCCCTGGGCATCCCTGTCCGTCATCCTCGCGCCCGTACCTGAACGTTTCCGAAGGGGGCGAAATTACTCAACGACACTACATATATTTCTCGGTTGTTCGCGTGTAACCCGAGACGCGAAAATCCTAGATAAAGCAATTCTTTCCATGTGCGATACTGTTGCTGAGCGCATGTTGACTTGCTGCGAGATACAGTGACCGGCCCAATATAGTCAGTTGATGGTGTGAATCTCTCGAGACCCGAGGCGAAAGCTGACCCCACGAAGGAGGAGACACTAAAGATACTCCTGTTTCTCAGTGAAAGGGGGGAGGCCGATCGTTGCAGAGTGGAACAGACAGAGCTTCCCAAGGCTGATTTTCAATAAAGTCAGCACAATCTCGCCCATGTAGCCCCGAGACATGTAGAATACGACGTTGGGGCACAAAGGTATGGAGATCTTACAGCCCCTTCAAAGGCAACAAGAAAACCTCGATGAGGCTGATGTGGGGGTTGGAAGAGCAAAGACGCATGGAACTGGAAGCTG